AATTGCACATCAAGTGCTCAAATCTTACAACATATCACAAATTGCACATCAAGTGCTCAATTCTTACAACATATCACAAATTGCACATCAAGTGCTAAAATCTTTCAACATATCAGAAATTGCACATCAATTGCTCAATTCTTACAACATATCACAAATTGTACATCAAGTACTCAATTCTTACAACACATTATATTTCTATAATAAGGAGCCACGACTCGATCATAATGTACACAACATCTTAACAAAATATTCGAGAGTGAACAACTCAACCGAATAATATTTCACAATTTGGTACTTTGCCTCAATATGATTCACGGCCTTTATAATTCAATACCAAATTTTCAACAACGTGAACTGACAAGTAATTCATCCAGGAACAACGCCTCTTTAAAATCAAAACTTCAGGAAATAAATAGATTTATTCATCTTATTAACTAAAATTTTCATTTAAATTATCTGTAGGTAAAATCAATAATGAAAGTATTTTTCATAAAAATGACAACTCAAACAGACACAGAGTTCACATAAAAGTCAAGTGGCAATCACACCAAATTATTATATAAAAATAATCTCGGCAAAAAAGGAACGAGGCGTGACAATAAGGGATTTAATAAGTTACAACAAATTTTCAACTTAATACTTAAGGGCGTCTACGAATTTCAACCGATATAATTTGCACATATAAACCAAGTACGTACTCGTCACCTCGCGTACATGATTTTCAATTACACAATTTCCATATAAGACTCAATGCCTAAGGGGTAATTCCCCCACTCGAGGTTAGGCAAGATACTTACCTCGTTTCACAACCAATTTCAAGATTCCAATAAACCTTTGCCTCGCAAATTCGTGTCCAAAAGCTCCAAATCTAGTCACAAACAATTCAATATACTCTACACGAATCGTAGGAATTAATTCCATATAAAAATATAAATTTTTCAACAAAATCTGAAATTTAACTCAAAAATCGCCCGTGGGACCCACGTCTAGGAATCTGACGAAACTCACAAAATCCAATAACCCATTCAATTATGATTTCACCCATACCAATTTTATCAAATTCCGATATCGGATTGACCTTCAAATGTTCATTTTATATTTTTGGAAAACTTTACAAAAATCTGATTTTTCTTCCATAAATTTACGGATTCATGATGTAAATGAGTATGGAATCATGAAATAAAATCAATATAGGATAAGTAACATTTACCCCAATGTTTACCCATGAAAATCGCTCAAAAATCGCCCAAACCGAGCTCCCCAACTCTATTTTTGTCAAAAATGGTAGAAAACCCCCGTTTACAGGGCCTCAGCTATTTTGGGCGCCACATGTAGCATGGGGCACTGCCTGTGGCTCTATTTACAGTACCTTTAAACATCCTACCCTGGGCGCTGACGGCGACGGAAAATTGTTCCTGACACAAAAATGGGCATAACTTTCTCATACGATGTCCGAATTCGACGATTCTTTTTTATATGGCTCCAAAATGTCACTACGGATCTAATGCTTCAATCAAAAACGAATTTGGAGCTCATTTTCTTAATGTGATACCACGTATTCTTGAAAAATCGATGTCGAAATATAGCAAATCAAGTCCGATTGACCTCAAATTTTGCACACAAGTCATAATACATCATATGAAGCTATTAAAGACTTAAAATAGTATAAGGGAGAGAAATAACTCAAATCGACAAGTCAGGTCATTACATTTGTGTTATTCTTATATGTCATTTTCATGTTGAAAATTCATGAAGAAGCAAGAATCTTTAGAATTACCATGCTTTACATTTAAGGATACCAGTACGAGTATGTATAGGTTGTTCCAAAAGATATTTTGACTTGAATGGTCAAGAAAGTTGATTTAGATCTTAGCGAGGTCACACAGAATAATTAGTTATTAAAGTATTTTTGGGAGTATCCTCTATTCTGAGAAGGGGTCATCGTCCAGGTCGAGAGTCCTGATCAAGGCGTTGACTTACTGAAACTACTTGTGCCAAAGTAGGGAGTACACGAGGTGAGAGTCTCGTTGCTGAGAATTTACTTAGCGAGGCTAAGGTATGATACATAAGCATTAAGAACCATGAAGCGAGTGGCAACTCGTGGATTGGGCCTATTCGATCGGGTTGAGATCAAACCCGTACCGATCACACGATGACTAAGACAGAAATAAGCCAGGATAGTTGGAACTCCCGAAGCATAAAGTGAAGTATTCTTTTTAGATAAGAAAGAAAAAGAAAAGAATTTCTTTTAGAATATTCATAAACTGTTGTTATGCAATTACTTTAGAATTATTCTTAGAAACTTTATGTTTTCCATGCATTTAGAATCTTTGCTTGTAATGTATAGTTTATTAAAGTTTTGTTCCCTATCGTTGATACTCACTGAGTGCAATGGATGGTACTGACATTCTCTTTTGGGAGTCTGCGGTACAATGTAAGAACCGATTTTGTAGGCGAGCATGCTATATATTAGGATTTCCCTCACTTCCAGTGCTATTCGTGAGCTCCGCTTTTGTTCGCGGAGTACTCCTTTGAGTCGTCATTATTTAGCTATTTCTTTGTTTACTTAGAGAACTGGCCAGGAGTCCTGAGCAGTGCGTCAGTTTATTTGTAGAGGCTTCATAGACACAGTCGGTGGGTTAAAATAACTTAGCAGTATTTCAGTAGTTACTACGAACAAAGTTTTGGTATTGGTTATTTTAGACATTTAAATTAATTAAAAGTATTTGATTAAAGTGTTGCCTTGTTGTATATAAATTTGAAGTTATAATAGATTTGATAAGCGCATATGGTTCGCTCGATCAAGTTTAGTGATCGGGTGCTGGTCACAGCTTGTTCAGAAAATGGGTCGTGACAAATTTGGTGTCAGAGCATCAGGTTTATGGAGTCCTAGGAGTCTATGAAGCCGTGTCAGTAGCGTCTTATTTATGGGTATGAAGCGCGTCATACTTATAAATAGGTGGCTACAACCATTTATGAAAAGTTTCATTTTTTTCATACTTTAGA